ATTATTTAAATATCACGTGAGTTAGCGTTCTCCACACCTTCCTATAAATAATCACTTGGTCAGTGATTCTAGCATTTTGTACTTGACAAGGAGTTGAGTGAGGTTTGGATTCTCTTTTCAGTTAGCAATACTTATGACAACTCCCTCAACTAGTCCAATGGCTGAATCTAATTCGAATATAGGATGGCGACTTAAAAGCCTAGACATTGATCCTATTTTTTTTAAAACCCCAAACAAGATTTTTACAAGACATTTACTTGCTACAAGAAAGCAGGAACCTAATGAAAATCTAGATGACTTTTTCAGGGGACTTGAAAAACTAAGATGGGATTGCGATTTCAAAAAGACTGTACAGCCAAACAATGTGGGGACGAAGCTATGCGTGTTGCTTTTATTAGTGGAATTGCTTTACCAATGCGCCAAAGACTACTGGAAAATAAAACATTGGATTTACAGACAGCTTACGATCAAGCTTCAGCCTTGTATTTATCACAGAATAACAAGGCTTATGCTGCCCCTATTTCCCTCTCCTGCTGTTGCAGTCTGTAAGAGTAACCGTTTTGGCAAAGACGATAAAATTAATATCTTAAACCCTTGTAATTCACAGTTACCATTGTTGTTTCAATACCTGAAACAATAATGGTAGCTGTGAATTACAAGCCCGAGAGTACTAATAAGGAAAACTTGATTCTTTTGTGGGACTGTGTCGTTATCGTAGCGTTCCGCTACTCTGTTCATTTTTATCATGGCTGATGATCTATTTCTCGTGACCTTGCCCTTTTTGAAGTAAGCATCACGTTTCTGTAAAATGCTTTTTATGCGACCTTAAACAGTTATTTAAATTTAATAATTCACTACGTCATTTTTAAGATATTTGATTATGGTTACACAATATAAATACTACTTCTGTCCTTGTTGCAGTATAGTTTGTAATCTCGAGTAATTTGATTTTTTTTATTGACTAGAAGTTGTTAAGAAACTCGTCATATGTTGTAAAATCCCTTATACCATAAAATCAGCAGCCATATGAACTTTTCTCTTCCTCTTTAGTCGAACTCACGGAGAGGAACCTATGCCGAAAGGCAGGGTCTCTTTTGGGGAGGTAGGCAAACCTGATCCCGTGTATACAGGGTACACTAGCAATTTTTGCTCAAGTCTACGGACTCCGAACACCCCCACATTAACAACTGCCTTGTGGGGAGGTTGATAAATAGAGGTTTTCTCTCTATGCTATACGGTGACCTTGCTTACGTGGTTAGTGCACCAAAGCTAGCGAGAGGACTTTGGGTTGTTTAGTGACTTTGTTCTTCGAAACAGTAGGATGCCGTTTTCCCACATCCTCAATAGGAATCTTAAGATCCTGTTTATTCTGCTGGGTTTCTGTGCGACCCACTGCCATTAGTAGTAGGTCGTCTCTAACTGGTAGACTACCGGGTTACCGCGTGATCCTGTGCGATGTTCAATCCTCATGAGGTCCTACCGCATTCAGTGAACCCATGTGCGGTCTGCCTGGTTATGGTGCGACCTACTGTCGTAGTGGATGTTCTACATCCGCTCATGGAATCTTAGAGATCCTGTTCCTCGGAACAGTATGATGCTTGCTCCCTGTCTTCTTTTCCCCGATTACATGGTATGCGATTACCATTTGTTCTTTTAAGGACAAAGTTATTTTATTCCCCTTGACAGCGTGTGCCAGCGCACGACCTCTAGTATCTTCAGCGGTTTCTGCACCCACAGCGAACGACCTCTCGTCCCGGTATCTCCAGTGCCTGTCAACGGTTCCTGTACACTCAGCGAGCAACCATTCGTTTCGGATTTCTTGCGCTCGTTAACGGACTCGATATCTTCTGAATACAATCAATCGTTCTGGTATCTACTATTGATTGCAGTCATTCTCGTCGCATACCAATCTATCTCCAAGCTCAATCGGCATTTTATACTCTCACGATGTCATCCTTGACGTTTATCACCTTCTCCCGTGTACATCAGCTTATCTTCTGTGCATGTCAACTGACTCAGTTTACCTTTTTCGAACATGGACTGTTCATTTACTTTTGTAGAATCTAACTTCTACATTTCAGTGAATCACGCCTAAGTTTCCATAATGCTGTCCTGATTGGGTAATAAATATGAAAATTGTATTTTGTTTTTTTACGTGCAAAGTTCTAAAATCTTGCACAGCTGTGACATAGAGAGAGAGAGAGAGAGAGAGAGAGACCTCCACCTCCACCCCGAGGTGGATTTAGTAATCGACAGTGCTAAAGAATTAGAATGAAGGTGCTAATTACTTGGGTAGAAGGGATTCCGGAGTAATTCCAGAAATAAGTTTATTTTTTTCTCTTGTTTTTTTTTTTTCTCTTAATAATTGTTTCTGGGGTTGAGTTATTAGTTAATTACATGTAATAATTCCAAAGTGATTAAGAGACGGATTCGTTAAAATAAAGTTTGTGATAAATGGCAAATTGGATTTTTGGGTGGTCTGAATAGCGGATTTCACCCAGACGGGATAAGTGGTTTTGGCAAAATTTAAGTATACGTTGTCTGCGGAAGATTCAGCAGGAGGTTCGAATCCGATTTTAGTACCTCTTGAAAACTGGTTGCCCGCGGAAGTCCGGAGATTAGGCGGAAACACATGGTGGTCCAGGCGATTTGCATATTAAAATTTGGGGGCGGTGCCTAAAGATGGTTTAGCTCCGCCTGTGGCACCATGCATACCTGACGAGCTGAGAGAAATATTCATAGATATATGATTTGTTTTTTACGGTTTATCAACCATTTAATAATTATTTAAGGCCGAAAAATATTTTGGGTTTTAAGAATAATTCTTTCTTTACATTCAAGCGATCTGGAAGAAGGAAAGAGAAAACGAAGAAGAAAGAAAGAAAAATAATACGAAAACAGGTCATAGGCGAGCACACACACGAACAGGTGTCGAAAAATATCTGGGTCAAGCATCTGACCGATTTTCACGGAATCCACGAAAAATGGAAGTTGTTATCAATTGGTTGTCACCCAAGAGGAAAAGAAGAAACGAAGTTTAGGGACAATGAAAATATTGATAAGTAACAAGTGGAAAGTGTGTCATTGGAGTGATAGTAAAGGTCTAAGTGGGTGGGGAAGTGTATCTAAGGATATGAAGGCAAACCATTAATACGAAAACCCAGACAGTCTCTAGAATTGGAAAAAGCCACACAAGATGATGTCGCTGAAAATTTTTTTTTTTTGAGATAATAAAGATTTTTATTATCGGGCGGAGGAAAATGAAATATTTTTATTTCGTTCAAAAACGCCAACAGGTCTGAGAAATCCCTTTCTTAGATCATATCCAATTAGCGATAAACTGCTTGACAAATACCACGTGTTAAACAGCCGAAGGTGTCATCGCAGTCGCTCATGATAAGGGCGATTTAAATTAATATTTTGTTTTTTTTCTTCTTTCTTTCCCAAAACAAAGCCACGGATTGTCCACGCCCGACTAAAGACGTCATTGGCTAAATAAGATCACATGACACACGAAGGAGGAGAAAGATACCCGACCAGGACCTCATTGGCCGAGAGCGGTCACGTGACGCACGAGGAGAATCGGTCGACGCCCCTGGCAGAAGTGTAAGTGTAAGGAGCCGATGCGAAGAAGCGGGGAAGAGGGTATACGCCCCTCAGAGGCACAGTAAGGAAGTGGGAGTGAGAGTGAGTTACCGAAAATGGAAAATCCCTAACCAGAAATAAGAAGGGTGGATACGTATTTAGAATTATCGAAGAAACCCCTGGCGCCGGAAGACCCACCCCAGTTTTGACTGCGTCAATAAAAGCGAAACCCCAACCGACAGAAATCAGTTTGAGCCGCGGACGGCGGGCCAGGTTCGTTCGCCCCTTTGCGGGCAAGAGAGGCCAGTTCGTTTGGCCTAAGTGAAGAAGTTCGTCCGACCCAAGCCGAAGTGAAGAAGTTCGTCCGACCCAAGCCGAAGAGAAGAAGTTAATTCGCGCACCGACGGCGGAGATGAGTGACCAGTAATTCAGACTCTGAAGAGAAGAAGTTTGAGTTGAGCCGCGGACGGCGAAAGAGTTCAGCCGTGGACGACAAGCAGAGATGAGCGCCCAGTGTTGAAACCGCGTCAAGATAGCTGACCAAGATTCACGCACACTTCTGGACTCTTCTTCAACCAAGAACAAGTAGTTTGAAGAGCGACTTAGAATCAGACCACAGAAATAAGTTTTTTTTTTGACTTTCGTCCAAAGACACACCGAAACACAAATTTCTTAGAGAGCAGACAACTGGAAGCCTTAAAGTTGCCTAGTAAAAGCGTCGTGCCACAATCCACAGAACGGGTCGGGAAGTAGACATAGTACTATGTACCGAGCAATTAGACATAAAAAGTTTGTTACCTTTTTCTTGATACGTTGGAACTTGTGAGTTTTTATTTTATTTTCTTTTATACATAATTGTGTGTTATCACCCCCGTTGGACTCAACTCGCATTTCGGCCCCAACCCCTGTTTGATCTCGTCTGTCTAAGATCAATTCACAACGTGGGTAGGCAGACTGGGGATCAGTGCAGTTACCCTGGTAACCAGGCATTTGGAAGTGGGTTGGGAACGGCGAGGCTGGTATCAATCTAACCAAAGGGTTAGAACGTCACGTTTGGAGCAGCGAGGAGCGAACAGCTGACGCCGCGGCAAAGACGTCACAATTGGCGCCGCGACCGGGATCGAACGACACAGTCGACGCTGCGACCGGGGGACGACGTCACGCGCCTCTCTATATATAAGCTGCCCGCACGCTTGAGTTAGTCAGATGAGTTCGGAGATCAGAACGCGGAAGAGGCGGCTTGTTGGAATTTGCTGGTCTGGTCTGTTGGTTGCCCTGTGTCAAGAAGACCGATCCGAACCAAGAGATCGAAATAGAACCCGGACGAATCCAGATTACTTCATCAACAAGGCTATGAGAAAGCAGACTGCTATATCGTAGGGTGTCGACGAAGATCCACGAATTACTTCCCTTAGATCAGCCGAAATTGTTTAGGCAGATATTTTCCTACTCTCTCTCTCTCTCTCTCTCTCTGACTTTCCGACCCAAACGAGTGAATCTCGTTATGACATTTTGTACTCGTGTAAATTCTTCGGTAGAGACATAAAAAACAGTGGCCTAAATAGGTCTCTTTGTACAGGTCAGATATGTTTTCAAAACTTATGGGTCCCATACACGAACTCAACAAGGTTAATAAACCGTTTGTCTGGACGCAAAATGCCGACAGAGCCTTCAAAAAAATCAAGGACCGTCTCTCTTCGCCACCCGTCATCTCGTTTCCAGATTTCTCCAAACTTTTCACACTCACCACCGACGCCAGTGACGTCGCATGTGGAGCAATCTTAATGCAAGAAGCCGACAACGGGAAGAAAGATATCATAGCGGTCGCTTCCCATACATTCAACTCCACAGAACAGAACTGGTCCACGAGTCATATGCAATAAAGTGGGCAATATTGAAATTTGATTATTTCCTTCGCAACCGCCCCTTCGTCATCTTCACCGACCACAGATCGCTGACATATCTGGACCAACGAGAGTTCAATAATGCCAAAATACGACGATGGCAAGAAGAAATTTCATGTTATAAATTCGTCTTGGAATATGTTGAAGGCGAATCAAATGTATGGGCTGACATGCTCAGCAGAGGTTGCGGACATAAGAAAACGAAAGCCCCGAATGACCCTACACCGGCAGGCAGGACATTCGAGGTAAGCGGTTCAGACCTCCGCGTATACATCCCATCTTGGTGCCTCGGCGAGTTTAACGGTTTACAGCTCATTCCCAAAACTCACACACCACAAAACGACCGCACCCACAAAGCGCGTCACCAACGCATTTTTTAACCTATCACTCCACCACCACCATCCCCACTGAGAGAATCTGCAACCACCTCGGCATCGCAGATGAACAACTGAAGGACGACGCCCTGGCAAAAATCATCAGCGCCCTCCAGTCACCCACCCCAAGCGAACCTCATATCGATCCTGACGACCACCGAGCTACGCTTTTCAAAAAGCATTTCCACCAATTTTTTCTAGAACCAGGCACCTCCGTTTTGATGATAAGAGACAGTAAACACTCTCCGAGATTGGTTGTACCATACAAACTACGACCCAGATACCTCTACCAGGCACACGAGGGCAACAACCACTTAGCTGTCACCCGTATGCGAGAACTCCTTTCCAGCTACTGGTGGGAATTCAAAAACCGCGACATCAAGGCCTATGTCGATTCTTGCGACACGTGTGCTAAGTGCAAGGGCAACTACGGTAGACGTATCCACTGGCCCATTGGCCACTGCAAACGAGGAAAGAGACCATTCGATCTCGTCTTTATAGACTTTGTCACAATGCCCAACTCAAAGGGAAAACGCTACATCCTAACCATCTTGGATAGCTTCAGCCGACATTTTACAGTCATACCATGCGCGAGAGACCGTGCTATCGACGCCGCCCGCAGATTGTACCATTTCTTCCTTCGACACAGAGAGATTCCACGCATAGCATCCTCTGATCGAGGCACACACTTCACTGGAAAAGTCTATCGACAATTCTGTAACCAGATGTCAATCACGCAAGAACTTCACTGTCCTTGGCGCCCTCAAAGCTCAGGAAATATCGAGAGACAACATCGCACGATGAAGAACGCACTTTATATGTTATGCGAAAACAGGAACTGTGAATGGACAGACGTTCTAGAATCTCCGTTTCGTCTATGAATGCCACGACCAACAGCGCCACCGGTGTCTCCCCGCATTATGCCATTACCGGCCATCACCCCAACATCGGCCTACCTACACTACACAGAAAAGAAATCACAAGCGACGATCCTGGAGCATATGGAATGCAAATTAATGCCCTGCTAAAGCAGGGTCACCACCACGTCACCCTGGTCAACGATGAAGCTGACCACAAACTTGAGACTAACTTAAATCGCCTCACATAAAGGACCCAATACAAGTAGGCGACAAGGTTTTTTTATCGGCCACACTCAACTGTTGCCCAATCCTCTCATCTGCCCTGGATAGGAAATTACACCATTATAAAAACGAACAATATGATGTGTCAGGTGCAAAACGATGATGATGATACAATCTGGATTCACCGTGCACATATCCGACGACTGGCTCCACGCCCAACACATCTTTCTAACACAATCCCTCTGCCTCCACCATGTAACAGTCACCAGGATCATTCTCCTCTACATCCCTCGGGGACACATAACTCAGCAAAACAGATGCCAATAAGAAGAACACGAGGACAACTTCCCACACGCTTCAGAGACTTTATCATGAATTAATCACCCAAATATACACGAATAACGCTCACTGTAAATGAGCCTTGTTATAAAATAAAATAAGACATATCTCGGCTGATTTACAGGCAAATACTCAAGAGCGAGAACCGGATGTGAACGGGACAAAGCCCCGTCACAAAATGACCATTATCTTTCTTTACAAATGTTTCCGACACACGTGTTCCGGTCGAAAAATAAAATAATATTTAAAGTGCTCTATTTTTCGTCCAATAAAAATGCTTCCCTCCTAATTATACTCGCTTCATTTCTCGAGCCTGTTAAGCCATAAAAATCGCTATAAAAGGGGTCACACGGAAATTCAACGGGCAGTCAATAGGTGCCCAGGATAGAGACCGGTCACGTTCAGCAGCTGTCAGCTGGAGAGCGTCAACCACCGTCAACATGTGTGAACTACTATGAGAGATCGACCAGATCCGAAAGCCGGCTTATGAACTTTACCACAAGGTAGCTGTCCCAAACCCTCACGTTCCTGTTGAAATAAACCACGTAAATCTATTTCTACTGTTGTCGTATTTCTTTCTTGCAACCATACGCTTGTCTATAACACTGCTTATGTTGAAAAGATTAATGTGGCTGCGTGTTGAAGAGTATTTAACATTTATACATTATTGAATCAAGGAAAAACAATGAAAAACCGATTTTTGTTTCAACGATAAAATATATAATAAAATCAACAAATACAAAACAATTTTTGTAATGTGTGAATATTAAAGAGAAAAAAGTATTTTCCCTTTGTCTGTTAGCTTGAATAAGATAAAATGTAATTAAGGATGTTTCTTGAATAGAATGTTCAAAGTTCTATGATTAAATAGAATGTTGCATTCAGAAAAGCGTACAGTTAATTCAGTTGTGTGTTATTTGTATAACTAACAGTGTTGTTTTGTAACTTGGCTTGTTCACGGAGAACTGATGGCGAAATGTAATTCAAGTTCTGTGTCTGTGTGTGCGCAGTGAGTAGAATCGATAGTCTGTGTAGACGCGTGTGAGTTGCTGAATTTTACTGTCTATTTTTGGAACAAAACGTTGCTTTTATAACTACTGGTAGGATCCAGGAACAAAGGCGGGAGAAATTTGAACGAACACAGAAAATATATGATTGGATGAAAAATTAACCAATCGGTGATTTTTTAACAAAAGCATGTTTGTAAAATTCACGGCAGGAAAAATTCAGTGTGGTGACTGCGAACAGTAAATTGTCCTGTGGTAAACAGTATTTATTATTTAACCAATCACAGTTGAGAAAAATGTAGGCGTGGCAAACGTAGTAGTAGTCACTACAACTACTTCTGAATGAACTGTGAATTGGAAACTAATTGACACTTAAAATTCAGCTCTCGAGAAACTGTTTAAAATTTTAACATACACTTATAAATATTCTTATCTTGCACAAATTTTCATCCAACAATTTATTCAATACACATTCTTCCCACAAAACTTTAATTGCTATTTCAAACAAATTAGGAAAGGACGTTGAACTAAATTTAAACTTCTCTGTAACACAAAAACAAAAATCAGGTGTACACATAAATGCAACAATAATTTCAATACTCATCAATTTGCATCACTTTTGTCACTGATAAAAGAAAAATCTATTTTTGTTATTGCATTGATTTGTTGAATTTATTTCTCTTGTTTATTGTTTTTGACACATTTGTTGAAACCAAAAATAGTAGAGATTGAATTGAGGCCGTTCGACCCCCTCCAACATACACACACCTTAGGCATATGAACATTTCTCATTGCTAAGTTTCGAGTTCCGAACCACTGCTTTTCATCTGTTTTCTACAATACTCTTTTCAACATGTACGTTTCGTATTTTATTTCTTGGAATTGTTATTTTCCAAGAATAAATTTTGGCATATTTTAGTTAAATTCCTTGTTGTCCTTACCTTTGATCTGCTAGATCATTGAATTTTATTTTTAAATTGTTAGCGGGCACGTCTGATTAAGACAACCCAGGCCTGTTTGCGTTACACTGTACCATAAGAGAAATAATTCTCCAGTTCGGGAAGACATATGTAACGAGTGTTCTAAAAAGGGACACTGCCAGTGTGTGTCAGTCTGGAGTAACGAATGTCACAAGCGCTGCCCGACCGTGTTCTCTACCAACATAGCAGTAAGTAAAGCAGAAGACTCTCACATGTTGCGACAATTATAACTATAAAAAGGAAAATTGTTTGACTCTTGTGCATCCGAAAGCTTTATTAGCGAAAATACAGTTCATTTTATTCTTTAAAATTAAATTCCTTCGTCAAAACAGGTAACTATGGTATAGCGGTTGCTATGTTTTTCACACCTCCAAGTCATTTTATTCGCCTGCGATTGGCTAATAAATTACTACTACCTTTGTATAGGACAATCTAGCCATCTCAGTAGTTCCTTTGAATCTTTTAGTTCTGAGCATACTTACCTATTCTGTTTAGTACGTGTGTAGTGATTGGTTAAGTTTTAACCAATCACATATTTTTAATGTAAGATCAAGCTTTCCCGCAGTTCCGTGGGAGTTTACCTCTTTTCCTTAAATAGGGAGACTGTAGTGGACGCCTACCTACACCACACCTACAAATTACTCAACAGTAATTGGACGGAAAATAAACAATACCTTTTGTACAGATAATTTACGCATCGCACGAGCCACATAAAAATTTCTCGTGTTTTTGCTTCACCAAACTAGCTATAGAAAAAAATCAACGATTGGTCGATTTTTGGCCAATCACATTAAATGACACTTTCTTCAATATCCTTGCAGACATGGACGAGAGGAGGATCGTGGTACTAACGATGCTAGTTGTGGTAGCTAATACCTGGGAACACAGTGAGAATACTGTATTTAAGAAGACTAGCAAAGTGATTATAACTAGATCAAAGTAGTTGATAACCTTGGTGATAGACCTGCAGCCGTATGAGAAGTTACTGGGACCGAAGTGGACAAACTAGATACAGCCAGATCACAAATCGCCGGAGAATATTTACAGACTCCGGAATACCACTGTATATTATACCCCTTAGCTCAGGAATCCCTAATACTTGAGAGACAATGGAAGGATATGAATTACTATTTGAAAGGAATAAAGTTGTTACGGATCAGGCAAAAGAGGGCAGTATTACCTATAATGGGAAAAGCATTAAGCCATTGTTTGTTGCTGTTCTACCACCTTTAATTTCCTCTTAATTACTTTCACTTCGCCTTCGGAGACTGTACCAAACAACACGTTTGTATCGAGGTTTGTCCGGCTTTCTGCAGATATTAATTTTTTTTTGCTGCATTCTAAATGTCTTAGCGCAGATTCCCCAGCCGTGTCTACATCTTCAGTCGACCGTGAATGGACGGACATCACTTCTGCTTTCTGCATCAAACAAATCACAACGTGGGCAGGGAGCAGGATTAAACCAGCGGACCGAATTATGGCTACTCCCTTAAGTTCGGTTAGGACCGAGTAGACGCCGGAGATAGAAATGACAAAGCCTTCATATGGGACTTGGCAGATTTGCCAGACTGTGAACGAGGTGGCCTTGGCATAGATGAAATGGCTTCGCACGCCTCCTATCATAGTCCTCGTGTACTTCCCCCCTCCATGTGACCATATCGGCGAATTGACGTTTCGTCTCGCTCCCGAAAAACTCGTGCTCATCGATGGTGCATACGCATGTGACAATGTGTCACCCCCGTATTCTGGAGTGAAACGAATGGTGTTTCTATCGTTGCTGGCCACAGCCCGAATGGTGATTTGGACGATGCGACAGGAGGAAGTCTTACGAGACAACCGTCTTTCTCATCAGGATCTGATCCGATTCTTTGAGCATCAGCTCAAGATGAAGATTAGAACTGATAGAAAATGGTTGATTTCGACAGACTTTAGCCCAAAGGTGGGTGACTGATGCGAGCTTGGTTCGAGTGAACGGGACTAGCCCTGATTTTCTCTTTTAGGTCTACTTAATTCACATCGGATGTGGTTTCCTGTGGAGCCCTCCCCTGGTTAAGCTATACAAGCTTTGTGTACCTAGTTAATGTGAGTAAGTTTTGTTCCTGGCCTGCTCCCGGCTGCACCTTTGGTTATGATCACCAACCTCCCTATTTTTGTTTTTGGCTCTCCTTTTCATCTCGACTGGGTCAGCTTTCTTTACTCCCCTTGTCCGTATTTATTTTCTCCTTTCCCTCTCCCGTAGCGAGAGTTGCCTCTTGATTTTGCCTAAGGGCAGAATACAGCGGCCTCTCTTTTTTGACAGTTGGACAGGACCTACTAATATCAGTTAACCTTGTTTTGTTTTTTGGATATTTAGTTTGTTTATGGGTTCATTCCCCCCCTCTCATTGTAAATCATCCATGGATTTTTATGTATAAATTTTTTATAATCATGAAATTTTTATGTCACGGGGTGCATTTTTTAGTTTCACTGAGAGTATGCGGTATATGGAGGATTGATTGGTGACGGATGAGTTCTCGTGGTGAATGTGCAAATTGTAATGAGTGAATCGAATTAGCTAGTCAGATAAGATAGTCAGTGAAGACCAGCCTCAACCCATTTTCCTCTTTTTCGGTCTTGCACCAAAATTATATATTTTTATACAATAAATATCAATAAGTTGATATTAAGCTGATTAATATTCGGACTGATCTTACTTCGTTTGGCTATACAGCATTTGACCCTCCTATATTCCTTGTAAGTTGTCTTGTTAATTGTTTTGTAACATATTGTACTGTGTTTTTTTGTATGTATCCGTTAGCACCGTTTTGTATGTATCCGTTTTGGTGCTGAATAAATATATTAATCACTCATTCTTCTCCTGTATCATTTACCTCGACGATACAACAGATTGGCGACGAGGATTCTAGATATCGCAACTAAAACAACAGGCTTACGACAAATTATTGGATAAAACGCAATTGTAGAAAAAGGTACCCCAGTCAACGATAGCAGCAAAGGACGAACAAACACGCAGAAACATTCATTGAAAGTACAAATTGACAGGTACTGCTCACTTACAAAAATGGAAAAAATTTGAGAACCAACGTGGAGAAGACTTTGAAAGGCATCGAAAAGAACTCGAGCAACAAGAAATTTCAAAATTACTGGAAATTTTCTCAAAAAAATCGGTATTGGGTCCGGTATGACTGGTTTTGTTTAGGGGTAGTTGGTTTCGGTCGTATCGGCGAAACAGACTTCTCGCAGGTGTTGCCTGTGAGAATCGGCGTCTTTACTGGCCACCAAGACGTCGTCGATGTAAGCGTATACGCGCGGTAGTCCGCGCAGGACTTCGTCTATGAGCCGTTGGAAGGTCTGGGCAGCGTTACGTAGACCGAATGGCATTTTTAGAAACATATAAGCCAAACAGTGTTGTGACTGCCGTCTTAGGGACGTCTTCCGCAGCGACGGGGATCTGATGGTATGCTTTTGTCAGATCGATCTTTGAAAAGATGCGAGCGCCCTCCAGTCCGGACGAAAAATCATGGATACGAGGGACAGGGTAGCGGTCTGGTACGGTTGATGCATTCAATTTTCGGTAGTCGACGCATATCCGAAATTCTTTACCACCAGGTTTAGATACTAAGTGCAGTGGAGAGGCGTAAGGGCTATCGGAAGTACGAATGATGCCATCACTCAGCATTTTGTCGAATTGTTCCTTGGCGTACGCCAGTTTGTGCGGAGCGAGTCGTCGCGGATGGGAGTGTGCAGGAGGACCTCTAGTTCTGATGTGGTGCTGAGTCTGGTGGTTACCTGAAGCAGTTACTTGGAGTGGCAGTGTTATATCCGTGAACTGTGTCCATGGCATGTTGCGACGCTGATTACTGTGGGCCTTGACGTGTAGGGGGACCTAAGACACGGAGATTCGTAGTCGTGTCGGACAGGGTCCTGGGGTTCATATGGACCGCCAGTGCGTAATGCGCCAGGAAATCCGCGCCGAGGATAGGTATCTTCACGTTGGCCACGGTGAATGTCCAAGTGAAATCACGTCGCATGCCGATATTCAGAGTGAGGGTCCTTTCTCCGTACGTGTCTATCGCGGAACCATTCGCAGCTCGTAGTTTGAGCAGGGTGGTCGTTCTGATAGCCACACCTGTGTCTACTAGGAATTTCAGTTTGTTCCGGCGATCCCAAAAGTAGAATAGACGACATTGCGTGTTGGCACTGGATGAGTTAGTCGTCGCCACTCTCCGGTTTACTCGTTTCCCCGGGCCGACGGGTGTGTACAGGGAGTTCTACAGTTCCTGGCTCCATCGCCAAATGTGCGATGAAACCAACAAACGCCCTGGTCGCTTCGCCGTTCTCGGCTGGGGGTACGTCTCCGTCGAGATGGGGTCGGTTTCCTTGTCCGTGGGCGCAGGGTGATCTGGATCTCTCGAATTTGTCGTTGAAGGTCGGCCAACGCCCGTTCTGTCTTACTTGGCTCGTAGCGTTCGTTCTTTGCTATGTCGGGGGCGTGAACTGCGTTAACGCTGTGGTCAAACTGCGCAAAAACTAGGTCAGCAGATTCTGCCAAATCATCCAGAGGCGTGGCTCTTGTCATTGGTGCGATAATCTGAGCGACTGATTTGGGCAAATGCTCCAGCCATAAACCTCGAAGAACCTTTTCTGACACATTGTCCTTTCCCAGCTGGTTCCTCATATACCTGAGAAGCTGGGATGGCGTCTTGTCACCTCTGGTGACGTTCCGTAGAATTTCTTGAATCATGAACGCCCGGTACGCTTGAGGATCGCTTCCTTTAAGTGACGTACGGTTCATGTTCGCGCAAATCGGAGAGGACGTCAGAAATTTCGTCCATCATATCGGATGGGAGATTCTGCATTACGTTCGCGAATCTGGCTCGCTGCGAAGTGATGCGTAACATTGAAAAGATCGAGTCTACCTGCACGAACCAGTTCTTGGCATTATGGTGGTATGCAAGCAGAGGTATGATCGCGGCCGTCATGTCTAAAGAATCACCTTTGACCGACTCCATCATCACTTAGCTGTCTCACGTCGGGAAGTCACCACTTGTTGCGGGGCCAATAAGGATGTGGCCCCCGCAAGCTTTATGAAGAAAGGTGTGAACAGCTAAGACAATGAGGGGACAAAGGCAAAGGTTTAAGAAACAATAACCTTGATTTTATTTTATCCAAAATGTACAAGAGTGTACTCTGGAGAAATATGTCGGTATCGGTGTCGGGTCCGGTATGACTGGTTTTGTTTAGGGGTAGTTGGTTTCGGTCGTATCGGCGAAACAGATGTAAAGATGAAAGTTGAAAATCGGCGGTAGCTGGTCGGCTGCCAGACGGGAAAATTGTCAGGAACAGCAGCAGGTTGATCGACGTCGCACGAGATTCGTTGTATCTATCGGTTAGGACGAGTCCCTAAACAGGGTCGAGTGAGTATAGTGATACGACTTCACAGGGCGGATCGACTGCGGATACGGGATCGCGCCGAAGTGTAACACTTGGCGAAGCTGGTCAGAGAGGTGATACACCTTCCAGGGAGTATCGACCGCGGAGACGGGATCACGCCGAAGAGTAACACTCTCGACAAAGCACCGGAAGCTCACAAAGGCAGCGTACTACACTTTGATCCAGGATATTTATTCATACAAAAAGTACAAATTGTGGCACAAGGCCGAAAAGGGGAGGTGGTAGAGGCTGGTCAACACTAACTATCTTATACCTAGCTAATCAGATTCACGACCCATTCATACATTACAATTTACCCATTCACCACAAGAACTCATCCATCACCGTTCAATCCTCCAACCACCATAATACCACATCCTCTCCAGGGGAACCTATAAAACGCGCACTACGCCATAAAAATTTGATGAAGATAGACAATATACATAAAATTCTAATAATGATAAAATGATAGGGGAGGGGAGATGAACCCAATAATAAACTAAAATCAACACAAAATTCAAACTAAACATAATTGATGTTAGTAGGGACCGTCCAACCCTCAAAACAGAGGGGCCGCTGTATTCTGCCTAGAGGACAGAATCAAGAGGCGCTCTCGCTAAGGAAGTGGGGAAAAGGATAAAATATTATGCGGTAATGGGAAAGTATAAAGCTCACCCAGCCGAGATGAAAGGGGACCAACAAACTGGGGAGATTGGGAATCTCGACTTGGATCATAACGAAAGAGCAGCCGGGATACAGGCCAGGACCAACATTTACTCACATTAACTAGGTACACTGAAGCTTTTCTAACCTAACCAAGGGGAGGGTTCCACAGGAAACCACCCCGATGTGCCATAGGTTGACCTAGAAGAGAAAATCAAGGCTAGCCCCGTTCACACGAACCAAGCTCGCCTCTTTTACCCACCTTTCAGCTCGCCGACATGGTCCCATAAGGGGCGGACCCGGGGGCAATGGTAGAAGGCGTGCGAAGCCGTTTCCTCTAAACCAAGGCCACACTGTTCACAGTCTGGCAAATCCGCCAAGCCCCATATGAAAGCCTTGTCGTTGAGAGGCAGCCGATTCCGAGCCAATCGCCAGCTAAGCGAAAACTCAGGGTTACTGAGGTAATCCGCCGCTGGCGCCCAAGACCAGTAGGAGTGATACTCCTCCTCCGACAAGCCGAGCGTATCTCGTAGGGGATCCTTCGCGGGCCCCTCCACTAATTCACGATAGAAGACCTTCCTAGGCCGAGAAAGGTCACTGGACCGGGGAACGGCCATCAAGGCCGACCGACACTCGCGAAGGAAAACCGATTGATAACGGGGTTTACGACGGCGCTCAACCCGCGAGATGGGGGGACTGATGATAAGGCCAGGGAGCGCGTCCCTAACAATCCCCTCCAGAATCGGATCTCCTCCAGTCAATGCGCGACGTAGGAAAGCCAACCTAGAGGCACGGACGTTTAGTGCAGACTCGTCTGTCGACCCAATTCCCGCGTCCCCTCCATAAAATGGAGGATAGCGATCGCTCGAGCGCCTTCCTGTGGGTCGTACAGAGAGGAAGTACGGACAATCGATAAAGAATCAGGGGGAAAATGTATGTAGCACACACCTCCGCCCTGCCCTTCACGGACAACCTCCGTCGATTCCAAGTCTGACCGGCAGAATCGACCTTTGCTCGTACTTCAGACCAATTCTTCTCCAGCTGGAGGTCGGGCCCAAACCACACTCCAAGAATGCGGACAGGACCGTCCGTCCAACCGAAGCGGCCCGGAAGAGCGACCCCTTCCAGGCACCTAACCGCAAGCCGGACGACTTGTCGCGGTTTATCTTGGCCCCTGTCACCTTCTCGTACCGATCAAGCGCCTTCTGCACCGCTTCAATGTCGCTGCGGGACGACACGAAAGCAGATACGTCATCGGCGTACGCGGAAACCCTGGCTCGAGGCCCTCCAGGTACGGCGATTCCACGTAGGGCCGGACTGCACGTCTCGTCCTTCAGTCAGCGAAGGAGAGGCTCCAACGCCAAAGCATAAAGGAGAGGCGACAGCGGACAACCCTGACGAACCGACCTAGACAGCACAAAAGCGTCCGACAACCTTCCGTTCACCTGTACCACTGCACTGGGGGGGCGATAAAGGAGGCTAATCCAACGGAAGAAGTTGGGTGCGAATCCAGCGGCCTGCAGGACAGTAGCAAGGTAGCGATGGGCAACCCTATCAAATGCCTTGGACTGATCTAAATTGATCAGCGCGGCTTCTTCGTCGTCTTTTACACCCTCTATGATCGTGCGGATCAGATGCAGGTTGCTCTGAATTGTTCGGCCCCTCACAGAAGAAGTCTGCTCAGGAGCCAACAGAGACTCGGTAACTGACTACAAACGCTCCTGCAGGATCTTGGCCAAAATCTTTAACTCTGTGTTTAGCAGAGTTATGGGCCTGTAATTATCTAGGTTCCCCCCACCACCTTTGCCCTTTTTCAACAGAGTGATCACACCCCTGGTGATCCGATTGGGGATGGACCCCGACCGAAACCAGTTGTTAAACACCACTGTCAAAATCGGAACAAAGATGTGCGACAGCCTCAAGTACAATTCATAGGGCAAAGCATCCAGACCGGGTGACTTGCCTCTGCCGACCTTCAATGCCGCGTAGACTTCGCCCTCTGTGAGCTCTCCCTCGCAGCTAGCCGCTTCAGTCGGCGAAAGCCGAGGAAAGTCAGCCAAATAGCTGCGAAACTCCTCCTCACGGAGACCAGGCTCCTTGGTAAAACGGCTCTCGAAATGGCGCCGAAACGCCTCGCACATGTCGTCAGTGGCCCGAAGAGTGTGCCCCTCCGGGGATTTGACTTCACGAATGCAACGATCACCACCTCGACGGACCTCTTCCCTGCGCAGATCTGCGCCCAAGTTCACGGCTTCGGAAGACATCTTGCTTAACTTATGCCTAATTATCTGGCCCATGTAACGCTCGCTATTCGAACGATCTAGGGCCTCCCTAGCTAAGGCTATCTCTAGGGGATTCCCACCAGCCACCGCCCGGGAAAAACTAGCGTTAAGCGTCTTCACCTTTTCAGCTCTATCTAGAGTGAGCCGTTTGCCGAAATCAGTGGTGAAAGACCTAATCCTACACTTAAGTTGCTCCCACCACTTATTCCCGATAACCGCCCCCCTACTAGTTCCCGCTGCACTAATCTAGTTAGCTGTTCCTGGAAGTCCCGCCTGTCCAGTAAGGACAGATTGAACTTCCAGTACCCAGCCATTCTAGGCCTAGTTCCTAACGCCGCCCGGTCACAAACAAGTTTGTGGTCCGAATAGCCTACCCAGTGGAACGTGGGACAATCTAAAAGATCTACGTCGGCTCTTCTAACTAACATTTTGTCAAGGTAGCTAACTACTTTGTCACAAGGCCAATTAAGAGCCCACGTCCACATTTTCCCCCCAGGATGATCGACCCGGTATCTATCGACAAGACCATAATCGTCAATCAGATCAACCAGGCTACGATCTCCCCTTCTCCCGCTAGAACCCCGCCCCCAGTCTAACTTGGGGTCCCGGATGGCATTCCAGTCCCCCATTAAAACTAGGCGCGTCGAATCAACTAGGAACGGCCCCAACAGCCGAAAAAACGAGACTCGGTCCTCCCGGTCATTGGGCGCATAAACCGC